ACACACACACACACACACCTCGCCTGTAAATTAGACAGAATCACACCTAATTTAGACAGAAGGTCTATGGAAGGTTTAATCAGATGAGATTGGCTTGTAGGCGAGTCAGTTACTGAGAAGGGAAGTGCAGTGGCAGATGGAGGAGTAGATGCCTGGGAGCAGTCCTTGGAAGATAGACCTCATTTTTGACCCAACCATACGGACTGCTCACATCCAATAATCCATGCCTCCACAGCCGTGCCAACTTTATTCCCCTTCCTTCACTTCTCTGAGGCATTGCCCTAGGCTAAGCTCACAGAAATTCTTTTTTTTCTACTAGAGTAGTGGTCCGGCTTTGGTTTGCATAATGCACGGATAAGACTAAACCAAACAGTCAGCCACAAATTAATATTAGTCTGCCAGCCCACACAGTGAAGACATTTTATACAAAGGAAAAGATTTCTTTGCTCTTCTGTTTCTTTGTCGTAGACAAGTTTGTCTTGCCGTGAATTTATGTAGGCATTCACAGTTCAAAAATGTTATTTTTAACCTGTTATACAACATTTTAGCGCAGCAGTTGCAGCCACTAAGAGACGACTATTGTATTTAAAGTGCACGCAATTTTAATTCACCCAGGGGATAGACAAAAACAGATGTTTCAGCCAAGGCTGGATTACAGACCAGGCAAAGTGGGCAACTGCCCCCGGCGTCCCCCGATGCCCTCTATTTGCTGTGGCAATCAGTTTGTGATTATTTGATCAATTGTAATTAATTAAGGAGACCACTGTTGTTACTAGTTGTACCTAATCTCTTGATGCTCTGTTTTAAAAATCTCTTACATCGTGTATATTCTTAAATAAATTTGCATTTATTCTACTTATAAGCAAATACATTGGGGAACACGGGGAGCACAAAAGGGGCCCACATTTCACTTTTTGCCCTGCGGCCCACTTGTGGGTTTTCAGATTTCTCTGATGAAATCTTGACTCTGCTTATCTACAACTATGCTGAAACTAACTTTATACATAAAACATAAAATATCATACAACCCTCCTTGTAACGTGCATAATAAATGTTTTTATGTGTTAACAAACACTGAGTGTGTGTGCATTGTGTCCTGTTGTTGTTACAGCCCACAACAAAAATATGCAGGCGGACAAGACTGTTTCATGTTTTTAGTATTGTCGTCACAGTTGCTCGATGAAAGCAAAGTATGATTTTAAGTTTATTTGATTACAAAGAAGGATAGTGGACATTTTGCACCTTCCCGTGTGTGTTTTTGTGTATTGTATGTGATGAATCTACAATATAAGAAAGAAAACCTGCAGCCTGTCTAAATTAGATACCTTAAAGCCTGAAACAAAGTGCGACTAACGGTGTTACCATTTTGTCTTAATGCCAGTGTCATAATGACAAAGTGTTCTTCCTCTGTGTCTCTGCAGGTCTATGCTATCCTGGTGAGTCACCCTCCCCAGTCCAATGACCACCTCACTCCAACGCCTGTCTCCTACACTGCAGGCTTCTACCGCATCCCTGTGGTTGGGCTCACCACCCGCATGTCCATCTACTCAGACAAGGTGAGTGATGGATGACAGAGATGTAAAGAGAGAGATAGAGATGGAGGAAAACTGGAAGAGAGAGAGAACAATGGAGTAAGGAACTCTCATGGGGCGGCTTCAAAAGCTTCTTAGATTAAAACATCCCATCAGTGTCCATTAGAGCAGCTGTGATTAAATGAGTTTCCAGCTGAAAACTGAAAGAACATCATTAATAATGCCTCTGACCTGAGTAATGTTTTTATGAAGCACACACCACTAAAATGAAACTTTAAAGCAATCACATAAATAAAATGCCATGGACTTTAATAACTCAATTTAAAGCCTATTTAGTGACAGCTCTCCTGATCTCCCACATTTAAGGAAATCAGAGGCATTAAATCCAGAGATTGAAGGCAGCCTGAGGGCGGTACATAGATAAAAGCATTTTTATGCTTTTTTACAGGATTTCTGTCCTTTAGTGATATGTTTACCACCAAAATAACAGTTTGCATCATTAATGCGCTGTATTCCTAACAAATTCTGCTGCAGGCTTTCCAGCTTTCAATGTATTGCAAGTCTATGTTTTGTTAGTATACAGTGTATAAAGTACACTATATGGCCATACAGTATGTCATTGTTGAAAATCTCATCTCAAAACTATGAGCTTTAACCGGCACTATTGGCCTCCACTCTTCTGGAAAGACTTCCATTCAGTCACAAGAGCATTAGCTAAGTCGGTCACTGACGTTGGGCAATAAGGCCTTGCTCGCAGTCGGCGTTCCCATTCATTCAAAAACTTCTGAACAAGGTTGGGGTCAGGGCTCTGAGAAGGCCGGCCTCAAATTCTCAGAAAACTATTTCAAGGGCAACAAATGAAACAACAAAACACTTACAGTTTGTTTGTCAGTGCCTTACAAAGCCATTACCAATCACTTTATGGAAATATTCAATCTATTTTATATTGTGACAATGCTTTAGTTGGTGAGACCCATCCATTCACCCTGACCCTGTCACAATCACTACAGCTGCTAGAGGGCTTTGTTAACATTAATGTAAATAAATGTCATTTATTATTATGTCAATGCCATATTTTGCATATTAAAAAACATTTCTACTTGGCGTTAAGGTCTTTAAAAGGGCTGGAACCTGCCTTCGTATCAGGTTTTTGTCTAGCTATTTTTATGTTTTGAGCGACGAGTCATTAAATATTACCTTGTTGTGGAAAACTGCTAACTTCTGAACATTAATCTCTATTTTCTGCTTTTGACTGCAGAGTATCCACCTGTCCTTTCTACGGACAGTCCCTCCCTATTCCCACCAGGCGCACGTGTGGTTTGACCTAATGCGCGAGTTCAACTGGAACCACATCATCTTGATAGTGAGCGACGACCACGAGGGGCGAGCTGCCCAAAAGAGGCTCGAGACCCTCTTGGAGGAGAGAGAAACAAAGGTGAGACGCTCCGGCTCCCAGGGCCTCCCTCTCCCAGAGTGAGTGAGCATGAGCGCGCGAGTGTAGTACGGTTTTTTAAACCTCAAAAGGTCTTCTATGTATGTAACTGTTTTCCTTTCTGTTGTGTGGCCACATCTCTTTCTCACCATTGTGTAAACATTGGCTAACATTCCTAGAGACATCAACAGCGTCTAATGTGGTCTAATCTGACGAGAGTTTGTATGTTTATTTGCTCATCTTCACGTTGCTTTTCGCCATAGTCCAAATTATCCTGTGTCTATCCACAATGGGAGCCAAATAGTGGACTTTAACGTGGGGCTTTGCAAACCATCACAGACTGAAGTGTTTTATTGGGGCCGTGGTGGATGTCAGGTGTTTCTCTCCTCTCAGTGCGTGATGAATGGCCCGCTTTATGATTGTACACAGAGGCCGTGTGTTTATAGCACCCTGGTAGGTCGTGTTCGCATGATATGGGAGATTTTTTTTTACACCTTTTCAGATGCCGCTGATGCATCCATTTTAAGTGTAGCTCTGAGCTGTGTATGTGGGTCAGTGAAATGCTGATCTTCCTTGAACCAAAACAGACTTGAGGCTGCAACAATGTGTACCCATTAGGAACAGAGATAGACAGAGAGAGGGGGGGGAAAGACTGTCATCTATTGCATCCATTTATTAAGATTAAATTACCTTAGGATATTTTTTTCCTCTTACACTCGGTTATGCGTGTCCCTCTGTGGGGCTCTTTGCTGTAATTGTGCGGCAGAGTGAAATGACTCCCGATTCAGAGATTTAATTAAATCAGAAGCTGATGAGACACTGAACACGATGTAAACCCGAGGTAATTTACAGAAGGCGGCTACGGCTAAAGTGAAAGCCAGTTTAAATTAAGTGACCGGGATCAGTATTGATTAAGAGCCACCAACAGGAAAACATTTCAAACACCTGGATTTATCATGCTGGATTGTGCAACCACATCCATGCAGTTGAAATGATACTGTTGAATCATATCGATGTGACTCACATCCTGAACTAAAGAAGAGACATTTGCGTGTTAAGAGCCTTTGATGAGAATCTAGGAAGTTCCTTTTATTTTTGCATAATTTGAGTTTGGATCTCAAAATGATCCCATCTGTGGATTCATTCAATCCCATAATACTGAGGGAAGTTGCTGCAACTCTCTCTACTGTGAGGCTTTAATTACGCGTATATTTAGTCATGACAGCTCGAGCATGAGTTGTTTGAGAATCTCTCCAAATGGGTGCAGCAATAATTACACTAAAAACTCAAAGGATGAGGGTGGTGATATTATAGATTTTTCTTACTGTCAACTGAAAAGACCAAAGTCAAAAATAAATTGATCCTACAAACAAGTATTGTGTGTGTGTATCCAAAATCTGATATAGCTTATTCCTCTGTGCCACAGAGCTCCACTGTTTGTCCAGAAACTATTAAAAACACATCAGTGAGCCACGCTGTTGCACTGGGTTATCATGAAAACGTCCTGTAATTGATTTTGAGTCGTACACCTTCCTGCTGCAATTAATACTCACTAGAGTATCACATGTGTATAAATCCACAGCTATAAAGGCACTATTTTCTCCATTGTGAGTAAAGCTTGCTAAAACCTCCAGTGCCCAGCTGTTTTAGGAAATTGCCACAAAAAGGGTGGTCTGTTTGGTACAGTGTCATTTTAAATGGAAATTGAATATAGAAAGTACATTAAAAACAGAGGACATAATAACCCTAAGATGTACAGTACTCCCTAATTTTGTTTTTAGCACCAAAGTTTTGTCAGCCATGAGGACATCTGGAGATTAGGCATTATAACAAAAGTAAGTGAGATCAGTAAGTGTACATTTAAATACAGAAGTGATGAAAAGAACTACAGGAACTAAATAAATTCAGATTTTTTATTTGTTTAGGCGGTCCCTGGTTGCTAAGCAGCACCTTCTCATTTCAGCTCTGACATCCTACGTCAGGATAATGCAACCTCTACCAGCTCTTTTATTGTGAGCTTGTTTGGATGATGTGGGGCTAAACACCTCAACTGTAAATGCAGTGACAGCTTTGACTGTTTAAGGTGACGTTAGTTTGGATGTGGCAGACCGCACCTTCCTCACATTATGCTCTAATTAGAAGGCAGAGGTGTTATTCATGCTAATCACCCGGTGCTGCATGAACTCACTAAATTGACATGCTATTTTTAGCTTCATGGCAAGTTGTTAGCGAGGTCACACAGTCGCAGGGGGATCGCTGTCACCACCAGCAAAGAGACTGTGGACACAGTGGACTTAGACACAGAGTGCAAACGTGACCAACACAACATGAAATATTAATGCCTGAGCGAGGATACAAAAATAGAGCTCACAGAAAATCTTTCGGGGGAAAAAAAGACAAAGACTTTTTGTGCTGCTGGATGTTACTCATGGAGAGGAAATAAATCTCCCATTTCATGCTGTGGTAGTTACCTGATAATAACACTAGTTAGTTAATTAGTAGTTATGATTATGACGAAACTAGACTGTGATTAAAACGTTCTTATCAAACTATTTGTCTTAACATTTTAGTTTTATCAATAAAAAGAGGAAAAAAAATATCTAGTTAATATGTAGTTTTTCCATCTTTTTAAAAATCACAGATTGTTTGAACATTTTCTTTATAAAATAAGGAAATGCAATAAGTGGAATTATCTATAACCCCACGGACAGACATTTTCACACACAACAAAATGTTGCTTGCGATCCTTCAGTTAGCATTAAATTGTTTTTTGAAGGCGGGATTATGACTCAGGATTTAACAATCATCCCCACATTTAGAATTCCTATTACTCAAACTAACAAGAACAAACAGAAAGCTCAGAATAGCTTGTGTAATATGTCTTAAAAAGCTTTCAGTTGTGAATGAAGCAGTTGTACTGATGCACGG